GCAGTCTCAGAAGTGCTGATTCTGGGTCCGTAGCTTTAAAAAGGAACAACAAAAATTCAATTCAACCCAGATACTCAGCTAAACGCTGCCGTGTTTAAACGCCATATTATGTTCCAAACCACATCAAGGATCATTTCTGAAACAATATGGGGCTCAAATGCTTTTTCTCTCACAGGTTTACCACAAGGTGAGTTCCTTTTTATATCCTGCTTTTTTAAACAGACTCTCTCCAGTACAGCGTTAGCTCTGAGTGTTAGCGATGCTTGCTAATGTAAACACAGACCATATTACTTCCAAAACACGTCGCACATTGTTTCTGATACATCGACCTTCTGGTGTAAAGCCAGCCCACATTTCCGTAATGTCGGCATGACTGCAGCAAATCTGGATCAGCACCGTTGTTCCCCCCGTTTGTTCAGATTTGGGTAAGGAGGAAAAGAGAGAGGGTTGTATTTTCAGACACTTTGTGAGTCTCATGACACACCGGGCAGGGACACATATTTATGTATAAAAGACAGCAAAAAGTGCATTTTGCATAATAGGGGACCTTTAGGGGTAGAAATCTGTATTTAAGATATTCATGTTGGATTTGTCATGGCTGTTTCAATACATTTCCTGCGAGCTACATTTCCAAATGTAAATCTGTAGACGACACTTGATTCCTCTCTTCTTACAGATCCACCTCTTCAGCCCTGCTCCAAAGTCACTTCTTCAACTGGTCAATTACTATGTTTTCCTCCCTCGCAGCCTCACAAAGTCAAATAGATGGTTTTCACAGCTCCTTCTTATGACAATGTTTGTGTGAATTATTCAGCATTTGCTTTTATCAAATAACAACCTGAAAAACCCAAATGCAGAAATAGCAGTTCACAGGGAAAACTCAAACTCGCTTTCCAGCCTCAGTGTCCTTCAACTCACTGCTGGATTGTGATGGAAGCTAACAATGCTTTGATATACAGTAGTTATGAGATATTATGCGTGTGTTTTATATTAAGAGCTTAAGGGTTGAGTTTCACATTGAAAGCGACAGTTGAGCTTCACCCTTTGGACGGTGAAGGCAGCACTCGGGCCTGACTCTGCTCAGAGGAAACACCTGCAGAGAGCAACACATGTGGATCTGCAAGGGAACCTCCTCTGTCTCCTCTGCACTGATGAGATATCCCTTAGTGAAGAGGCCTGTGACCTTGTTATGATCACTTGTAGCTCTGGATATTGTTTAAGCGCGCCACTGGGGAAAGCCTGGCGGAGCTACATGAAGCGGAGCGGCTCTTTCTGTAGTGAGGAGCGGCAGCAACAAGCTGAAGCCTGGGAGGAACGTCACTGTGCGGCAGCTTCTTCAGGCTGTGTGAGAAAGTTTTCTCCCTCCATGCAGCCTGGTTAAATTAGCCCCAGAGCCAGAGTGTGGACAGCAGCTGGAGTGCAAGAGTCAGCTCTGGCACTGGTGATAATCAGCGGGGAGGATGTGGAGAGAGAAACCCTCAGGGAGGAGGGGGGAAGGGGGGGGGGGAGGCTGTGATCTTACAGGCCCAATCAGAACCCAAGTGGAGCCCAGGCCTCATGCAGTGTAACAGCACACCATCGCGCCGCAGCACTCGACATCCTGGACACAGAGCAGGTCTCCTCCCTAACCGGCTGCTTAACCCTTTCGGAGTGTGTGTACGGTGTGTGTGTGTGTGTGTGTGTGTGTGTGTGTGTGTGTGTGTGTGTGTGTGTACGCAGTGTTTGTACGCGGCTCCCCTGGCCCTCATTCGCTCATCACCGCACTAATCAGACTCAGAGACAGCAGCTGCAGGGAGCCCCTCTCCTAACCTGGGCTGGAGAGGCTGTTATCCTCCGCAAGAGGAGAGCAAATACAGAGCTTAGTGTTCTCAACAGGGACCTCGGAGCATCGCCGCTGACACTGGCTGCTTCATCTATTGTGGCACATTCAACTCCACCGCCAGATTAACAATGTCAGCAGATAATGCGGTTCTTGTTCAGACAGCAGGGGGGGGGGGGGGGATGTAAGCCTGCTCTGATCCGTCACTTAAGTAAGAGTAGCAATATAACAATGGGAGAATACTGAAGTGAAAGTGATTTCAATGACGATATATTCGAGACTTTTGCTTCCGTGTAATGACAAGTCCTGTCAAAGATGACACAAAAATAAGAAATGATACCCAACAGTTGGCCAATCCAGCAAGCAATTAAAAGACACAGCTGTATGTCAAACTAAAACACCTTTGGGTAAAATGAAAAACCCTACATTTATAGGTTAAAGACAACGGTTAAGATTGGAATTGGTTATTTGGCGTCTGTTTAACATACACAAAAAAGCATGGAAGTGATAGTCACAGAAATGTGCAATCCATGTAAAATTTGCAGTAACTGGAAACAACCAGGAGTGTATTGGGAATATCCTCACAGAAGACCAGTTAATAATACTGCAAACCTCCGTATGTTTAGTTATTGCTCTCAGCTTTCTATGTTTGTATTGTGTTTAATACTCATTGATGCATTGAGGTTGTGTTATTTGGTCCAGACGAGGCTTATTTTTACTACTTTGCTGGATGTTTCCATCAATGACTATGCATTTGTATCGGACATCTGAGTCTACAAAGTGAAGGCACTAGCTGCTCGGAAATGCATACAATAAAGTACAATTATCCCCTGTGTAATGTAAAGGGGTAAAAGCAGATATATTCTAAACCCCTTAAGTGTACTGAAGTTCTATTGATGTGGTTGTTATCTCTCCGGTAATGGCACAGCCACAGCTCAACAATAAATCAGTAGGAGGTTAAATAATGCACTGATGTAGTGGTTCCTACAGTACTGGCGTATCGTCACTAAATCAGCCTGCAGGTCGAGCCAGCTCAGAGGTTGCACGCGACCAGCGGTTCATCAGCGTGTGCGTGACACATGGACATGATGGAGGGTGTGGAGGAACATCCGGACAGGTGGGGTCAGAGCCAGGTCTGATTACACAGCTGCTGATTCTCCACGAAAACCCAGAGACAAACCAGCACCCCGCTCCTGCTGCAGTCCTTGAATCCATCCATCCACCGCTCCACTGATGAAACAGACCGGACCTCGGATTCTCTCCTCCGCCCTCTGCAAAGTTTAGTCACAAAACTAACTCAGGTTGACTTTCTGTACAACGGTTTGTTTTTGTGTCGCTGTGTAAGGGTAACAAACGTGCTCAGAGTTCACACAAATGAATTACTCACAGTCAGAGGATGTGGAGTCCAAGAAAGTCTTCTACCAAAGAATTGAGTGATACTGGCAGAGCCGATGCGATCTCCGAGGCCCAGCTTGACATGACACGAAGCAACGATTTTATGTTGTCTGTCAAATGTATGGGGGGGGGGGGGGGGGAATCAATGCAACTTGACAGCATTACATAAAAGAGCTTTTGTGCCTTGATATTTCTTTTCTGTCTGTGTACTTTTGTCTAGGGTGCACAGAGTCGTTCTCCAGGCCCAGAGGGAGCAGAGCTGGCGAGAACAATGTGGGAACCCAAAGAGGAAGCTGCACATGTTGTCTTTTCTCCACAGTTTCTGCTGCGAGTCCAAAAGAGGCTGCATCTTTACAGACCATTTCATACAGCAACATCATCCATCACTTCAGGCTGGTTCGACACTGCCTTCTGCACAAGTCCCCAACTTGACCCCTAAATTCTTCTGACATGAAGACGTTCAAAATCAACAGTGGATGGAAAACCCTTCAAACGACAGGATGAATGTGCAGAATTGTGATCATAACAATTGAACACAACATTGTTTTTGGACTCTCTTTTCATTATTTTTCAGCGCATTTGGTGGCTTTGTAATGAGCAGTTTTTGTAAATGAACAGTGATACATTGTGTAAATTGCTAAATTGACATTTAAGTGCTCAATTGCATCAAACACTGATTCAATATAACCAAACTAAGTGCATCCATCTGCACACCATTAACTACAGGAACATTTACAGTTTCATGGGAATATGGTAAAAAGGGTTTGTGAGGAAACTGATCAACCACTTACTGCATATAATCTGATTACGGCTAAAATCCCCGTTTAGTGATGGTGACGAGTCTACGAGTGCTGCTGGCTGCCCAGGTGCAGCCCGGGGTGCGTCTGTGCGGCCCGGCGACACTCCAGGCTTCACCCTCAGAGCCTCATGGCTGAATGCAGCAGCCTCCCACTCCCACCTCTCGTCTAGAGGAGGATCAGCGGCGGCTTAGAGCTGCCCGGGCCGGGAGGTGAACAAGAGGCGCTTTGAGGAGCCCTCTGCCAGTCAGACGGAGAGCTCCAGGCCTCCAGCCCTCAGGGGTTAACCTCTCAGGCTGCCAAGCAAAATACTGCAAGAGTCTCGCAATTATAGAGACAGTCAAAGGCCACACGCAATTTCCAGAGCTATTTACACAGTTAGAAGCCCCCTCCCCCCCCCCCAGAACTGCCAATAATAGGCAGAATTAAAATGGTAGAGAGGTAAGGTGGGCTTTTAAATACACTTTGTCG